AGTGGATAAAGGAGATCTGATTGACAATGTATGTGGACTTCAAGAAAAAAAACCAACCCTTTGATAAACCTCACAAGAGACTATTGAGGAAACTGAGTAATCATGGGGTGAGTGATGAAGTCCTATTAAGGACTCAACTGGCTAGGAGACAGAAAACAAAGAGGAGGAATATTTGTACCCCAAGGTGTTTTTTAATATATTTATTAATGAACTGGAGAAAAGGGTGAAGAGCGAGACAGCCAAATTTTCAGAGGACAAGGCTAAGTTAGTCAGGACTACAAATGTCCATGAGGGACTCAACAGAGTTAGACATATGCATAGCACAATGACAGATTAAATTAAGTGTTGACAAATGCAAGGCAGCGCCCATTGGAAGGAATAATTTAAACTGCTCTTATATATTGCTGGATTCTAAATGAACTAGCCACTCAGGGAAAAGTTCTGTGTATCATTGGGGATAGCATCATAAAAACCCCTGCTCAACATGCAGTAGTATTTAAAAAACAAAGAAGGTGTTAGAACATACAAAGAATGCAACAGAAAAAAATAGTGAAACTATAATAATACTATTATATAAAATAAATGGTATACCCTGACCTGGAACCAGTCACTCACAAAGAAAAAAGATACAGCAGAAACAGAGAGGGTTTAGAGACGTGACATATGACTGAGGTATGAAATACTTTCCCTATGAACGAAGTTTGAATAGAATGGGTCTCTTTAGTTTGGAGAGGAGACAAATAACAGGAGGCACCTCCGAAGTACACAAAATAATCAACTGCAAAAAGAAAGTAAACTGGTTGTTCAGATTTACCATTTCATGCAATACAAAAACAAGGGGTGACTGAATACAATTAACAGGCAACAAATTTAAAACTTATAAAAGGATTTAAAAATACACATCACAGCCTGTGGAACCCATTGCCACAAGAAAACCTTAAGGTCAAAGTTTTAGCAAGAGTTATTCATTTATTTTTAAGGATTAAACAGCTATATAGATGAGAAGATCCACAGTTAAATTAGAAAGGACAGGATTTTTTTCTTACTAAGGAATCCCCTTATGCTTCAGGATCTAAACCAAACACTGATGGGGGTTTGGAAGAAACTTTCCCTTTAGGGGCTGGTTATTACATAATTATCTACAAGAGGCTTCCTTTATAAGGGTCACAAATCTGGTCTGTTCACTGTCACGATACTGGACTAGACAGACAACTGGTCTGACCCAGTCTGGAAATTGCTATGCCTGGATTCTTCTCTTTGAGCAAGAACCTACTCAGAATGCTTATTCCCTGATCCCAGCACAGCACAAAGTGGCCCCAACCGATTGTGTCCCCCGCATGAATCCACTGGGGAAGAGCAGAGAAGGGAAGCCACCAGCATACTTACCAACAATCCCAGTTTGGCCCATCACAGGGAAATGCTATACCCAACAAATTCCTGGAGTCTATTTATTTTATGAGATGTATGGTAAAAGTTTGTCAAGGGTGTTCAAAGCTTGGGATGGATGCTCTTTTGTGTAGTACAGTACAATACTAAGTTGCAATTTAGAGACCTGGGTTTTACAGAGAGGCAAAGGAGAGAACGAGGCAGAGAAATTGAGGAGAGATCTGGGAGCAAGATACTAGGAACAAAAATAAAAATGAACACAAAATTGCAAAAATAAATATAAAAGAAGAGAGACAAGAAGAAACAGAGAGAACAGACAAGAGGGATGGAGAAAGACTCGACAAAAACAACAATGCTAACACACACACAGTGTGCGCCAGGTGCATCTCCAACACACCAAGGTTGGGAACTACTTACAATGGATTCTTCCTAATGGTTACATACTTTTATTATCCCAAATACATGATAAGAAACACATGCTTGGATACATGAACAGTTTGAAAGTACAAAGGCTACATTTCATATTATTTACAGAACCTGTAATGCTGCCAGATACTTACAAGGGATTGTGTCAATCCTATAAATCCCCTGTACAGAGAACTCCCACAGATTTCAATAGGAATTCACCTATAGCAGGAATGGAGGCTCTGGCCTTTGGATTGGGTGAGAAATTGGAAGATCAAATAAACTAAGTTTATTGCACACAACATTCCAGCACCTCAGGAATCTCAGAATTTATCTAAGAAAAATATACCATTTAATTTCAAATCATTCCTGGAGTCGAACAAAACTACCTAGTTTGCTGGATACTTCAATATTACTGACCATTTAATAGAAGAAACCAATTCATAATCATACATGGCTAAAAGACTCCTGCACACATTTCACTCTCCATCACTCAGACAAGAGCATGATGTGAGGCAATCACACGACCAAATGCAAAGTAGTAATATATCTGAAGTTGTGTAGATTCATGATGCCTCCCAGACCTTTCATATTAAATCCCTTTAATATCTATAAAAGGTATCATGATGGTTTTATGGCTTGTGTGCCTTAATTTGAAGCTTTCACATTAAGAACATAAGAATGGCCATACTGGGTCAGACCAAAGGTCCATCCAACCCAGTATCCTGTCTGCCGACAGTGGCCAATGCCAGGTGCCCCAGAGGGAGTGAACCTAACAGGTAATGATCAAGTGATCTCTCTCCTGCCAACCATCTCCACCCTCTGACAAACAGAGGCTAGGGACACCATTCCTTACCCATCCTGGCTAATAGCCATTAATGGACTTAACCTCCATGAATTTATCTAGCTCTCTTTTAAACCCTGTTATAGTCCTAGCCTTCACAACCTCCTCAGGCAAGGAGTTCCACAGGTTGACTGTGTGCTGTATGAAGAAGAACTTCCTTTTACTTGTTTTAAACCTGCGGCCCATTAATTTCATTTGGTGGCCCCTAGTTCTTATATTATGGGAACAAGTAAATAACTTATCCTTATTCACTTTCTCCACACCACTCATGATTTTATATCCCTCTATCATATACCCCCTTAGTCTCCTCTTTTCCAAGCTGAAAAGTCCTAGCTTCTTTAATCTCTCCTCATATGGGACCTGTTCAAAACCCCTAATCATTTTAGCCAGTATATCTTTTTTGAGATGAGGAGACCACATCTGTACGCAGTACTCAAGATGTGGGCGTACCATGGATTTATATAAGGGCAATAAGATATTCCCCATCTTATTCTCTATCCCTTTCTTAATTATTCCTAACATCCTGTTTGCTTTTCTGACTGCCGCTGCACACTGTGTGGATGTCTTCAGAGAACTATCCACGATGACTCCAAGATCTCTTTCCTGATTAGCTGTAGCTAAATTAGCCCCCATCATATTGTATGTATAGTTGGGGTTATTTTTTCCCAATGTGCATTACTTTACATTTATCCACATTAAATTTCATTTGCCATTTTGTTGCCCAATCACTTAGTTTTGTGAGATCTTTTTGAAGTTCTTCACAGTTTGCTTTGGTCTTAACTATCTTAAGCAGTTTAGTATCATCTGCAAACTTTGCCACCTCGCTGTTTACCCCTTTCTCCAGATCATTTATGAATAAATTGAATAGGATTGGTCCTAGGACTGACCCTTGGGGAACACCACTAGTTACCCCTCTCCATTCTGAAAATGTACTATTTATTCCTACAATTTGTTCCCTGTCTTTTAACGAGTTCTCAATCCATGAAAGGATCTTCCCTCTTATCCCATGACAACTTAATTTACGTAAGAGCCTTTGGTGAGGGACCTTGTCAAAGGCTTTCTGGAAATCTAAGTACACTATGTCCACTGGATCCCCCTTGTTCACATGTTTGTTGACCCCTTCAAAGAACTCTAATAGATTAGTAAGACATGATTTCCCTTTACAGAAACCATGTTGGCTTTTGCCCAACAATTTATGTTCTTCTATGTGACTGACAATTTTATTATTTACTATTGTTTCAACTAATTTGCCTGGTACTGACGTTAGACTTACCCGTCTGTAATTGCCGGGATCACCTCTAGAGCCCCTTTTAAATATTGGCATTACATTAGCTATCTTCCAGTCATTAGGTACAGTAGCTGATTTAAAGGACAGGTTACAAACCATAGTTAATAGTTCCGCTATTTCACATTTGAGTTCTTTCAGAACTCTTGGGTGAATGCCATCTGGTCCCGTTGACTTGTTACTCTTAAGTTTATCAATTAATTCCAAAACCTCCTATAATGACACTTCAATCTGTGACACATTACAGGATGTCAAAATATTTATCAATAATATTTTGTTCAACAAGGGAGACCGAGTACTGGGGAGTGTGGGGGCATAAAATCCCTTAACCAGGAGGACTACAGTCTTAGGTTTTCCAGTTGTACTAGAGGTTTCCTTAGCATGATTTACAACTAGGGCTTATTTTTTTAAAACACTGGTTTATATGTAATTTAGCATTCAGTGTAGACAAGGTCTGCTGTGTTTAAAATTGTATTAGCTGGTCACAGGTATACCATCTGACAACTTTAAACACAGCAGGCCATGTTTACATCATGGCCCCATCTAGAGTAGGGCAACAGATCCTTTTAAAAACCTGTTATTCCTTCCCTAAAGTTGACCATGACCAGTTAACATTTTTAAAGGTGTTAAACCCTGTCTACACTAATGATTCAGAGCATGGTAACTAATATGCTTTTAAATATGGACCTATTCTCTTAGTCTAGACACGTGCCGGGAGCTAGATCCAGTCTGACACAGCACTAGTTAACACACATTATAATGCATTATACATAAAGCTACGATTTTGTCATGAATATTTTTAATAAAAGTCACGGACAGGTCACGGGCAATAAATAAAAATTCACGGAAGCCGTAACCTGTCTGTGACTTTTACTAAAAGCATCCCTGGCAAAATGGAGAGGGAGGAGGATCCAGCACCCTGCCCCAGTGGCGGGGAGCTGTGGCCCCCACCCCTGCCCAGTGGCTGAGCAGCTGGAGGGAGATCCCCCTAAGTAGCTGCCAGGGTCCCCCCACTACCGCTACTGGCAAGCTCCAGTTCCCTCTGACGCCACTGGTGGGAGCTGGGGGGAGATCCCCACCACCTGCAGGGCTGGGAGCTGCAGGGGCCCCACCACCCGTGGCAGCTGGGGAGCTCCAGAATCCCTCAGCCATCCATGGCGGCTGGAGATCCCTGGGTCCCCCTGCCGCCGGGGACCCGGGGCGAGGGGCAGGGCTCTCCCACCATCCGCGGCGGCTGGAGAGCTCCGGATCCAACCGCCACCGCCGGCGGCCGGACAGTTCCAGGGTGCCCTGCCACCCATGGCAGCTTGGGGGGCCGCACTGGCAGCAGTGGTGGGTCAGCTGCGGGCTTTCCCTTAGGGAGGGTCCCCCGCTGCCGGCGGTGGCTGGGCTGCTGCGGTGCCCCAGTGTCAGGGAGCTCTCTGGAAGTCCACGATCGTAGCCGTAATTCTGCAATCCAGTAAGAGCGGCCCAATACGAGAGATCACCACCTCTTCCCCCACCACCACCCCTCTCTCATATGCGGAGGCTGGCACCGGCAGAGCGACACCTGCCCTGCCCGCTGTAACACCCACCAGCATTTCCCAGCCCGGACACGCCCGCAGGTGAGCCCCAGTGCCGTGCGGTGCCCTCCCCTCCACGCGGGCCAACGCCTTCCCGCTCTCCGACGGGCCCGCCTGGCTAGCGGGCAGGGCGGGCCGACGCCGGCAGCAGGACCCGGGGAAAGGGAACCGCCAGCTCCGGCGGGACCTGTCCGGCCACCTCACCCCGCTTAAACAACGGCCGGAGAAGGCCCGGCCCGGTGCTGATGCTAGGGGCGGAAGGGCCCGGAGATGCCCGAGCGCCCGCTGGGGGAGGGAATGATCCCCGGCCCCCCGTGCAGCCCAGGCCCGGGCGCGGTCCCCAGCGGCAACCCAAGGGAGGCGCCCGCCGGCACCGGGGGCAGGCAGCGACCCCTCCCGGCCCCACACGGGCGGCGGCTCTGACCCCACGCCCCGAGGGGCGGGTGGTGGGGGGGTTTCTCTGCGAGCCGGGGTGCGGGCCCCTCACCGTTGCGGAGGAAGCGCTCCTCGTGCAGCACGGCGATGGCGTTGACGACAAGCAGCGCGGCCTGCAGCAGCGCGTACAGGGTGAAGGCCATGGCCGCCGCCGCCGCCCCCGCCGCGGCCTGCCCGCGCGCTCAGCCCGCCGCCGGGGCGGGGCCGGGACGTGGCAGGGCTGGGCGGGGAGCGCGCGGGGGGGCGGGAGCCGCGGGCCGGCCCGCCCCGGGCTGAGGGGCGGGAGCCGCCGGCCGCCTGGCGCGGTTTGAGCCCCCGCCTGAGGGGCAGGAGAAACCCACGTTGCTCCGGGGGAGAGGCCCCGCTATGCTTGAGGAGGGACGAACCGAGCCTGGCGCCCTCCTGGCAGGGAGGCAGCGATTTGCCGAGTCTGTCTGACAGGGCGGCTTTTCCTCGCCTTCACACAGGGTGGGGTCCCGGCTTGGGTCGGTCGGGCTCCCCGCGCTGTGACCCCAGCGAAGCCCGTGGGGCGCCCTGGTGTAGCCCCCTGCAATGGGAATGCTCCGGTACCCCGCCGGCGCCGTAGCTGCCCGCAGACCCCTTTCAGGGGGGACCGCCCCTGTGTCCCAGCAAATCCCATTCTTCCCCTGCTAAAAGCTCTCTTGTTTCAGTGGGATGAAAAGGTGCAGCCCCCCTACTTTTCTCCCCAAGTGTCCGTAGAAATTTGATCAGGGTCGGTGACTGTCAATTTCACCGCAGACACAAACCCATGAAAAAATGTTTCCACCCATAATAATCAAAATTTACAGCTTGGCAAAGTAAGAAAAATGCTGTCTGAGAACGTGTTCGCGCGTGTTTTAAGGCTATTTACTTTGTATACTTTGATGTGCGATGTTGACAGTTTGTGTTTTCAGGTTTTAAAGCTTTAACGTTTTGAATCTCAACATCCACTATCATTAAATAATTATTTTCTAACACCCCCACCCCCCCGCCATTGTCTGACATCCCTCCATAACTGTGAAAATTTAAATGGATAAACATTTTAAAAAATCTTAAAACCTATAATTTTGCACAACTGTGAGCATTTAAATTGATAAAATAAAAAGCTTAAAAATAAACATCAATATCTGTTGAAATTCTTTAAAAATCAAATTCTGCAAAGATTACATACAAATATGCCATTTTTAGCTGTTATGCATGAGTCAGTAATTCTCATAATTTTAATATTAAAACACATGCTACATATATAGGATTCACATACACTGTAAGTAGATATATTTAACCAACATACCAACATTGTGACATAGAATCATAGGACTTGAAGGACCTCGAGAGGTCATCTAGTTCAGTCCACTGCACACATGGCAGGACTAAGTATTATCTAGACCATCCCTGACAGGTGTTTGTCTAACCTGCTCTTAAAAATCTCGAATGTGCTAACAGAATGTTGGGAATCATTAGGAAAGGGATAGATAATAAGACAGAAAATAATATATTGCTTCTATATAAATCCATAGTACACCCACATCTTGAATACTGTGTGCATATGTGGTTGTCCCATCTCAAAAACGGTATATCGGAACTGGAAAAGGATCAGAAAAGGGCAACAAAAATTATTAGGGGTATGGAACAGCTTCCATATGAGGAGAGATTAGTAAAACTGGGACTTTCCAGCTTGGAAAAGAGACGACTAAGGGGGGATATGATAGAGGTCTATGTAATCATGACTGGTGTGGAGACAGTAAATAAGGAAGTGTTATTTACTCCTTCTCATAACACAAGAACTAGGGGTCACCAAAAGAAATTAATAAGCAACAGGTTTAAAACAAACAAAGGGAAGTATTTCCACACACAACACACAGTCAACCTGTGGAACTCCTTGCCAGATGATGTAAAGGCCAAAACTATAACAGGGTTTAAAAAAAAACTATGTAAATTCATGGAGCATAGGTCCGTCAATGGCTATTAGCTGGGATGGAGGGGATGCAAAACCATACTCTGAAGCAGTGGTTCTCAGTCTAGTTACCATTGTGTGCCTCACATGCAGCTCTGTGTGTGTTTTGTGGACCGCATCCACAAAATATATATACTACTTGTCTGGCCCTGAGGATGTCACATGGGCTACAGTTGTGTGCATGGGTGGCATAAGCAGGGGGAGGCATTGTCTCTCCAAACAGCCAGGGGACCCCGCCCCCTTCCATGACACTCCCTGCGTGTGGCTGCAGCTCCCAGTAGTTCTCCCAGCTCCGAGTCCAGCAGCAGCCTCCCGCGCTGCAACCTGTGCTCCGGAGCTGGAGAGGCTGGGGTCGCACGCTGCCTGCCTTCCCGCCTCCCTCCGCCCGCTGGGCTGGGGAAGCTGGGACCGCAAGCCGCATGCCTTCCCAGCACTCCTTTGGGTCTGCGGGGCTAGCTGCAGGACTGGGCCTGTGGCCACGGTGGGGGGGACAGCTCTGGTGTGGGGGGGGAAGCTGGGCTCCGGCAGGTCCTCAGGCTGAAGGGGCGGGGCCTCAGGTGGCAGGGGCAGGGCTGGGGGGTTAGCTTTCCTCAGCCAGCGGTTCATGCACTGCCCATGGTTGCATGCTGATTGGGCCGCAAGCAGCCCATGGGACACTTCTCTGAAGTGTCCCTAGCCTCTGTTTGCTGGATGCTGGGAATGGGCAACAGGGTGTGGATCAGTTGGTGATTATCTGTTCTGTTCATTCCTTCTGAAGCACCTGGCATTGGCCTAGGGTTGCCAACTTTCCACTGGCACAAAACCAAACACCCTTGCCCCGCCCCCTGCCCCTCCCCATCCCTCCTCTGTGGCCCCGGCCCCACTCACCCCATCCCCTCCTCCCTCTGTCACTCGCTCTCCCCACCCTCACTCACTCACTCATTTTCACCAGGCTGGCTCAGGGGGTTGGGTTGCGGGAGGGGATGAGGGCTCCATCAGGGGGGGCAGGGATGAGGGATTTGGGGTGCAGAAGGGGGCTCCAGGCTGGGGCTGAGGGGTTTGGAGTGCAGGAGGGGAATCAGGGTTGGCGCAGAGGGTTGGGGCACAGGGCTGTGTGAGGGCTCTAGCTGGGGATGCAGTTTCTGGGGTGGGGCTGGAGCTGAGGGATTTGGGGTGCAGGAGGGTGCTCTGGGCTGGGACTGAGGGTTCAGAGGGCTGGTGGGGCAGGGGGTTGGGGTGTGGGGGGGTGGGTAATGAGGGCTCCGGCTGGGGTGTGGGCTCTGGGGTGGGACTGGGGATGAGGGATTTGGGGTGCAGGAGGGTGCTCCGGGCTGGGACTGTGGGATTCAGAGGGTGGGAGGGGGCTCTGGGTTGGGGAGGGGGTTTGGGGCACAGCGGGGGGGAGTAAAGGCTCTGACTGGGGGTGCGGGCTCTGGGGTGGAGCTGGGAATGAGGGGTTTGGGGTGCAGGAGGGTGTTGCAGGCTGGGATTGAGGGGTTTGGAGGGCAGGAGGGGGATCAGGGCAGGATTTGGGGCCCAGGAGGGGGTCAGGGAAGCTACCTCAAGCAGCTCCCAGAAGCAGCGGCATGTCCCCTCTCCGGCTCCTACACGGAGGCGCGGCCAGGTGGGTCTGCGCGCTGCTCTGTCCACAGGTTCCTGGCCAATGGCAGCTGTGGGGACAGTGCTTCGGGTAGCGGCAGCGTGCGGCGCCCCCAGACTGCCCCTATGCGTAGGAGCTGGAGGGGCGACATGCCGTCTGCTTCCTGGGAACCGCGCGAAGCAAAGACTAGCAGGGAGCCTGCCAGCCCTGCTGCACAGCGCCACCAACTAGACAGTCAACAGCCCAGTCAGCGGTGCTGACCGGAGCCACCAGGAACCCTTTTCAACCAGGTGTAGCAGTCAAAAACTGGACGCCTGGTCACTCTATATTGGCCACTATCGGAAGACAGGATACTGGGCTAGATAACCTTTGGTCTGACCCAGCATTGCTGTTCTTATGGGCAAGCTGGACACACAGCACCATCCTGATGAGGCCTCGTGTTCTAGAGACATGGATAAAGGTAGCAGGGGACAAATTCTGCATTCCTTTTACATCCTGTTGTAGCCAGTAGCAATTCTGGGTGTGCAAGGAATGCAAGAATGGGCCTTAGAGTGCACTTAAATTGGTTAAAGAAAGAATGCCTTAATTAGTGTTCATGTATTAATCAATTAATTTTATTGAAGTCCTTTGAAAATATTAAACACTATATACATGCTAAATATTGTAATTATGCTATTTATATTTAATTTGATGCATAACATCTGTGGGTTTATTTATTTAATTTTAATTTTTGTTTATTTAAATGTTTGCACTAGTAGGAAATAAAAAAGTCAACTCAGATCCCCATTGTTGTCTATCCAAAATATAATGTCCGCAGGAGTCAAGATTTCTAATAGATTCCAAAATAAAACAATTATATTTTATATTATACAGATTGGGGCCTCTAGGCACGACTGTAATACAAATAACAAAAATAATATTAACTGGTGCTCAGGGATACTGTATAGTTATTGATGTGTAAATGTACAAATTTTTCTCTCTTGCATCCTTCAGTCTTATTGGCTGAGGAGTTCTGATTTGCATAATCACACTACTTTTATTTCTCAATAATCATACAGTATGCAAACCCCTTAAGTCTGAGTGGTTGATAGCTTTTATTACCCAATCAGAGCACAATGATTTGCATAATCACTGCATTTTGATAGTTGCTATAGTCATTTTGCTTTGATAGCTATAGTGGTTTTGTGCTTAACATATTTGACTGGGACTCAGGCAGCACGGGTTCTAATCTTTTCGCCATCATAGATTCTCTATGTGATCGTGGGCAAGTCACTTGCATCTCTATATCATGGAGATATCACAATGTATCTCCCTGTCTTACAGATACATTGTGAGGATACATCCATTAATGGTTGTGAAGTGATCAGTTACTACAGTGATGGAGCCAGTACAGGTATGGTCAATAGATACTTACTGAATTTTCAAGCTGTATGCCAGCCACAAAGGCTATTTATCAGTTCCCTCAGCTTTATTTCCGGAAAACACCTCAGTCTTTGGTACAGCACTTTAGTCCAAGGTATAGTTTTGTGGATTTAAATAATCATGATATTAATTTAATATTAATTGATTGCCAGATGGAACTGAAAACAAAGAGATCACCATTTGTCTAAAAGTGTAGAATATCATATATTATTAATTTTTCCTTTCTGTAAATTCTTTTTGTTAACAATGGAACATTTGTCATATTTGTAGGGGAGGAATGGGGGGGACGAGGCACGGCTTGCAGAAAGAAACCAGTAATACAAATGTTTGCCAGTTAAAGCCCAGGATGATAAATAATCCCAATTCAGAAAAACAATTAATCATGTGCTTCATTCATTAATTTTAAGCATGGGTTTTTCCAGTCACATGGCCTAACATCTTTCCAAATTTCCGCCCTGCTCCTGCAAACACTTTTGGATGTGTTTAATTGTACGCATTAACAATCTCATTGAAGTCAATGGGACTACTCAATTGAGTAAACATAAGCAAGTTTGTAGGACTGAGGCCTTAAATATAACTTCTTTATTTTTCATCTAGATTTTTTAGAACTGCAAGTTTAAAATTTTAAAACAAAGCAATTTTAGTTGTCCAAGACAAAACAACAGTTTCTGAATATTTTTAAGCATGAAAAATAGCCATTTCTCATGCTTCTGTAAATAAAAAATAGCCAATCTGAATTTTGCCAACCTTCCCAGTTTTAAAAAAAAAAATCAACTTTAGGCAGAAAAACTTTCAGCCAAAAGGGTCATTACTATTTTTCATATAATTACAGGTGCTGGAATAAAGTGGTCTAGAATGGGAGTGCCTTCTGTATTCAGCTATAACTTATAGCTTCCTGGTAACAACAGATAAAAAATACAGATAAATATGAAATACAGATAAAAAGCAGGTATTTTCTAATAATGACTGTCAACAAGAACCATTTCCTGTGCAATATCCCTGTGAAACCCAACTTATAAATAAATACTAACCTCAGTGAAGTACGGTACTAAAAAAATAGATTTTTTAAAAATAAGAATACAAGTTATGGCTTGAAATTTTTACCCCATAACTAAGATGTATTTCCACAGAACAGCTGCTGTAAAGCTTGCATAAATTTGATATGATTTTAATCTTTCTAAAATCCATTATGGCAACTTAACAACCACACAAGTCTTATCTTTGAATCATCACATTACTGTGGTTGAAAAGAAAACCAGACAGAGTTGCTTGCATTAAAGAGGAAAACGTATTTTTGACGCAATGGGAATGTTACCTTTCATCACAGTAGATTTCTGTGGTACCATCTGAAGAGTGTAGTCAATCATCATAAAGGAGAGTTTGAGACTACTTTACAAATGTCAAAGGCTTACCACTCCGGCTGGAGAAGTGTTTTGAAGTCCTGATATTTTTCCATAATTTTAGCTTTGCCCTCATTCATTTGTTATTCTGTAGTGTCATAAGTTTACAGAATACAGTGCATTGGGCGTGAGGGTGTTGATGGTGTTAGCACCTTTCAGGAGGCATTCAGCACCTTTCAGGATTGGGTCCTTTGATAGCATCCATTTTATGAATTAATTACTCCTTAAGAAGTATCTTCTCACACTTGTGCTATCTAATCCTCTCCTAGGGCCTGATTCAAAGCCTACTGAATGCAAAAGAAGTCTTTTTGTTGACTTTATTGGAAGTGAGATCGGCCTCTTAATCCATTTGTGCTCTCAGCTTTTTGAGTTTGTTTCTTTCTCAAATACTTTCATGACAATCACCTTCTCTGAACATTATATGTGTATAACAAATAGTGACCAAGTTTGAAGGCAAATATTTGTAAAAATGTTGTCTCAGAGATACGGGAAGGTTTGGAATTTGTGATATAATACCTAAAGAAGACCTGATAACAGTGTGCAAAAATGTTAAAGGATGTTATAAAGAAGATGGTGGTCAATTGTTCTCCATGTCTGTGAAGGTGGAACTAGAAATAATCAGCACAATCTGCAGCATGGGAGAGTTATGTTCACAGAATCATAGAAGATTAGGGTTGGAAGAGCGTTCTATCCTCTTTGGAACCCCCCTTCAGGTAGTTGAAGGCTGCTGTCAAATCCCCTTTCACTCTTCTCTTCTGCAGACTAAATAAGCCCAGTTCCCTCAGCCTCTCCTCATAAGTCATGTGCCCCAGCCCCCTAATAATTTTCGTTGCCCTCCCCTGGACTCTCTCCAATTTGTTCACATCCTTTCTGTAGTGGAGGGATCAAAACTGGACGCAATACTCCAGGTGTGGCCTCACCTGTACCGAAAAGAGGGGAATAATCACTTCCCTCGATCTTCTGGCAATGCTCCTACTGTTAGGCTCCTACTACTAGGTTAGATATTAGGAATTTTTTTCTAATTGTACTGATAGTTAAGTACTGCAATAGGCTGCCAAAGGAGGTTGTGGAATCCCCATTATTGGAGGCTTTTAAGAACAGGTTAGACAAACACCGTTCAGGGATGTTCTAAATTTACTTGGTCCTTCCTCAGCACAGGAGGATGAACTAGATGACCCTTTGAGATCCCTTCCAGCCCTACATTTCTATTTTTCTATGACTCTCTGAATTTATTACACATTTGTGGTAACTTTTCTGCCCTGATCCAAAGCCCATTTCAGTCAATGGAAAGATACTCTAAAAAAACCAACACTTTTTTGTTTCTTTAAATCTACACTTTGTTAGGGGACATGATTCTTCCACACCTGCTTTGCCAGTGAAGCTTAGAGACTCTATAGTCCAGAGCTAATCAGCCTGCAAAGTGTCCATCTGAGGTGTACGGTCCTGTCAGGGAACCTGGTCCAAAATGCTTGTTCTCTAACCTGGGATCTGATCCTACAGTCGGACCCTTGCAAGTGGATCTTTGCCCTGATGCAGGATATGGTGTAGGATCAGGGCCACAGTTACAAACCTGGGGCCTTATTCTCCTCTCACTGACACCAACATAAATCAGGAGTAACTGCACTTAAGTCAATGGAGTTAAATTGCGGATCTTAAACATAAAAAAGAAGCTTACAAGAAGTGGAAGGTTGGACATATGACCAGGGAAGAGTATAAAAATATTGCTCGGGCATGTAGGAATGATATCAGGAGGGCCAAATCGCACCTGGAGCTGCAGCTAGCCAGAGATGTTAAGAGTAACAAGAAGGGTTTCTTCAGGTATGTTGGCAACAAGAAGAAAGCCAAGGAAAGTGTGGGCCCCTTACTGAATGAGGGAGGCAACCTAGTGACAGAGGATGTGGAAAAAGCTAATGTACACAATGCTTTTTTTGCCTCTGTTTTCACTAACAAGGTCAGCTCCCAGACTGCTGCGCTGGGCATCACAAAATGGGGAAGAGATGGCCAGCCCTCTGTGGAGATAGAGGTGGTTAGGGACTATTTAGAAAAGCTGGACGTGCACAAGTCCATGGGGCCGGACGAGTTGCATCCGAGAGTGCTGAAGGAATTGGCGGCTGTGATTGCAGAGCCATTGGCCATTATCTTTGAAAACTCGTGGCGAACGGGGGAAGTCCCGGATGACTGGAAAAAGGCTAATGTAGTGCCAATCTTTAAAAAAGGGAAGAAGGAGGATCCTGGGAACTACAGGCCAGTCAGCCTCACCTCAGTCCCTGGAAAAATCATGGAGCAGGTCCTCAAAGAATCAATCCTGAAGCACTTGCATGAGAGGAAAGTGATCAGGAACAGCCAGCATGGATTCACCAAGGGAAGGTCATGCCTGACTAATCTAATCGCCTTTTATGATGAGATTACTGGTTCTGTGGATGAAGGGAAAGCAGTGGATGTATTGTTTCTTGACTTTAGCAAAGCTTTTGACACGGTCTCCCACAGTATTCTTGTCAGCAAGTTAAGGAAGTATGGGCTGGAAGAATGCACTATAAGGTGAGTAGAAAGCTGGCTAGATTGTCGGGCTCAACGGGTAGTGATCAATGGCTCCATGTCTAGTTGGCAGCCGGTATCAAGTGGAGTGCCCCAAGGGTCGGTCCTGGGGCCGGTTTTGTTCAATATCTTCATAAATGATCTGGAGGATGGTGTGGATTGCACTCTCAGCAAATTTGCGGATGATACTAAACTGGGAGGAGTGGTAGATACGCTGGAGGGGAGGGATAGGATACAGAAGGACCTAGACAAATTGGAGGATTGGGCCAAAAGAAATCTGATGAGGTTCAATAAGGATAAGTGCAGGGTCCTGCACTTAGGACGGAAGAACCCAATGCACAGCTACAGACTAGGGACCGAATGGCTAGGCAGCAGTTCTGCGGAAAAGGACCTAGGGGTGACAGTGGACGAGAAGCTGGATATGAGTCAGCAGTGTGCCCTTGTTGCCAAGAAGGCCAATGACATTTTGGGATGTATAAGTAGGGGCATAGCGAGCAGATCGAGGGACGTGATCGTTCCCCTCTATTCGACATTGGTGAGGCCTCATCTGGAGTACTGTGTCCAGTTTTGGGCCCCACACTACAAGAAGGATGTGGATAAATTGGAGAGAGTCCAGCGAAGGGCAACAAAAATGATTAGGGGTCTGGAACACGAGACTTATGAGGAGAGGCTGAGGGAGCTGGGATTGTTTAGCCTACAGAAGAGAAGAATGAGGGGGGATTTGATAGCTGCTTTCAACTACCTGAAAGGGGGTTCCAAAGAGGATGGCTCTAGACTGTTCTCAATGGTAGCAGATGACAGAACGAGGAGTAATGGTCTCAAGTTGCAGTGGGGGAGGTTTAGATTGGATATTAGGAAAAACTTTTTCACTAAGAGGGTGGTGAAACACTGGAATGCGTTACCTAGGGAGGTGGTAGAATCTCCTTCCTTAGAGGTTTTTAAGGTCAGGCTTGACAAAGCCCTGGCTGGGATGATTTAACTGGATTTGGTCCTGCTTCGAGCAGGGGGTTGGACTAGATGACCTTCTGGGGTCCCT